ATTGGTTGAAAGCAAAAGCATGATATGACCATTGGAGTGAAGAGCTGAAGTTGGTACAGCATGAAATGTGTTGGACAGTATGGTGGTTTCAGAAGCAGGAGTCAGAGTGGAGAGCAAGGGCAGATGAAAGCATCAAGAATGGGCATAGGGCATATGCTGAAAAGCAGGCTTCTATGTAGGCTGAGTTTGTAGCTGAGGGCATGAAGAGTTTTCAAGAAAAATGGAGCATGACAAGTTGATATTAAAGATGGCTTCATAATGTAATTACTTGACTTCTAAACATACCAGATGAGGTTAGGTGTCCTCGCCCAAATATTGTAATAGTAGGCCAGCCCATGATGGTGTGCAGCCAGCCTTACATATATTACAGGCTGCAACAGCAGGCTGGCCAATGTGGGATGGGTGGCTGGCCACTATATACATACTGCACAGCCCGTCTGGCCAGCTCGGGTATAAATGCCAGCTAAGCCGGCCGGCCCAGAGGTGCAGGCTGCAACAGCAGGCTGGCCCATATAGAATATGGCACTATATGACCAGCTGTCCACCTCATACAGACTGCACAGACTATCTGGCCAACTGAGGAATACTGGCTTAGCACATCAGGCTGCAATATAAGCAACGAAACTATTGCAATGTTGGCATGATCAAGCTGTGGTTGATGTAGCATTCATGTAAGCAGTCCAGCTTAAAAGTAGCCATGACCATGCACAAAACAAGTCTGGTACATAACACAGTCCAGCAAGCTGGGGTGTAGGTGGCAACCAGGCCAGCCGGACCAGTATTACATACTGTACAATATGTCAGGCCAGCTATGGTATAGAACACAGCCAGGCTGGCCGACCCAGTGTTACAGGGTGTAACAACAGGCTGGCCCAGCCAGACTTTGCCAATCTTATCAGACTTGGCTGTGGTATAGGTGACAAGCCAAGTTGGCCGGCCCAGTATTACATACTGCACAACCTGTCTGGCCAGCTTGGGTATAGAACACAGCCAGGCCGGCCAGCCCAGTATTACAGGGTGCAACACCTTCTATGTCTATGAGTGAAAGAAAATGAATGGTTTCTGTAGTGAGTACATCATTTTCATGATACTCATTTCAGATGCTCACCTTCTATATCTATAAGTGAGAGAGAGTGAATCGTTTCAGTTGCTAGCACATCATTGCCATGAAAATGATATACAAGCAACAGAAATGATCCACTCTCTCACTTATAGATATAGAAGGTGAACTACACAGGCTCAACCAGCCTGTTATTTTCTATCTCTATAAGTGAGAGAAAGTGAATCGTTTCTGTTGCACAACAGAAACGATTCACTTTCTCTCACTTATAGATATAGAAGGTGAGCATCTGAAATGAGTGAGGCTTAAACAGTAGATAATCAGACTTACTCTACTAAAGGAGACTGGCTGTGAGATTCCAGCATGGGCCAGCCTGTTATTGCATCCTGTAATACTGGGCTGGCCAGCCTGGTTGTGTCCTATACCCCAGCAGGCCAGACAAGCTGTGCAGTGTGTAATACTGGGCCAGCCCACATGGCTTTCACCAATACCCTAGCCAAGTCTGGCTGGGCCAGCCTGTTGTTGCACCCTGTAATACTGGGTCGGCCAGCCTGGCTGTTTTCTATACCCAAGCTGGTCAGACAAGCTGTGCAGTATGTAATACCGGGCCAACCGATCTGACTTTCACCTATACTCCAGCTTGCTGGACAGTGACATGCACCAAACTTGTTTTGTGCATGATTGTGGCTACTTTTAAGCCTTAATGTTCCTCACTTTGAATCTTTCTGGACTGCTTACTTGAATGCCACATCAACCACAGTTTGATTTTCCCAACATTGCAATAGTTGTGTTGCTTATATTGCAGCCTGATATGCTGGGCCAGCCATTCTGGCTGTGATTATACCCCAGTCTGCTGGACAGCTTACTCAAATGCTACATCAACTGCAGCTTTGAAGTGAGGTTGAGTGCACTTTCTACCTACCTCAGAGGCAGGTAGGCCATCATGGTAGCAGTATGCTAGCTAGCCCCCTTCTTCATACTGCATATACAGGTTGGCCCATGTGGCTCACAAAGGTGAAATTTAATCTGCAGCTGGCCTGCCCCCTTCCATATAACACAGAGGTAGGCCGGCCTAATGCACCATTTGGCACAAGTATGTCAGCTGGCCCCCTCTTACACACTGCACATCAGGGCTGGCCCATTCAGCTGAAATTCAATTTGTAGCTGGCCGGCCCCCTTTCACATATTGCAGAGATAGGTAGGCTGAATGCATCATTTGGGAGAGGTATGTTGGCCGGCCCCCTCTTACACACTACACATCAGGGCTGGCCCATTCTGCTAACATCAACATGGCCGGCTGGCCCCTTCCTACACCTCTGATATTTTTTTATGTGAGGCATCGGCCTGCTAGGGTTCTACAGCATCGGCTGAGCCTGGTTTTACATGGACCGGCCAGCATCCAGTAATCCAGGTTTTGCAGGCCAATGTACACGTCCTATGACAGGGTTCTACAGTAGAAGTGACTGAAGGGTCTGGTCTCAGACGGATAATTACACAGGAGGGATGTATCTTACGCATGGATAGCTAAACTGGAGGATGTATTGGGGTTTTTGGCTAATAAGCCAGTTATGATATATCCTTCTCCCACCAACAGGTGCTTGCCAATTAAAGGAGGTCTTATCCCGTGCGGAAGCACCGAGCTTTGACTTCTTGTCCTCGTCATGATGCCTGCCGTCTGATAAGAAGTGGGACTCATATATGTCTGCAAAGGCTGAGAAGTCAGAGAGTTCAACTCTTCGAGAGTTTGCGGCCCTGTTCCTAACGGCTTTGTCAAATCTAATGATTCTCTCATGCGCTCACTCGACACTGTGGTCAAATTTGTCGTTGATGTATTCCCCATAGGCGGCGAGCTCATCCTCTCAATGAGGGAATGCAAACTTAATGGCCCTTGAGGCTCTATTCCATGCCACAGACCATTGTGCAGAGGTAGTGATCTTCTTCGAGACTGCTTCAGTAGCGGTGACACTGTGGAGAACTTGATCTCAATGTCCCCAATGGTTTCGGTACATTTGTCAATGGTGCACAAGGAGGAGATAATGGAGTGTACGGTGTCAAGATTAATGCATTTTCCGGCAAAAATTTCTGCCCATCCGGCTTCATGGAATTCCGGGCAGCAGCGATGGTACATGAGTCTTCGCTGAACCTCTTTAGGGACTTGCAACCAGTTGAGTAGGATTTCGTTGGTGTGTGTGAGATTGGCTGAAAGTTGGCCTTGCAACCTGGCACTGGTGCATACCAACTTCGTGCTCGTGCTGCATATAGGTAAGGCAATCTCCGACCGGTGACTATTGACTATTTTTAACAAGAGAGGCTTGATGCGGTGAGACAATATACCTGACACTGCATCTGAAAACCAACATTAGAATCTAGATGAATGAATTAGAGGTAGTAATACGACAAATTGACAACACAGCACTAACAAACACTAATATGGACAGAGGACAAGCACTGTAAATTTGGTGCGAAGTGAATACTACATCCCTCTATCTTGTCAAGTTCGATCTGCCCTCTATATTCTCCACCACCATATCAAGCTCCAACCATGGTATATCGTAGTGCTGCCGAAGTCCAGTTCAGTTCAGTTCTTGGGGCAAATTTTCCGAACGCTGAACCGAACCATAGGTTCGGTTCAGCCATTTGGTCAAACCCTGGACCGAACACGTTCGGGAGGGTCCAGTTCGCGTTCGAACCAGGTTCAACTAAGCTTGGACCATCTGTGGTTGTATAGGCTTGAGACCATGAGTTGTCATGTAATTCGAGTCGGACAGACAACGAAAAGACTCTAACACAAGGAGAACTTCTTTGTACAAAGATTGAATTCAAGTTTCTAAAATAAACACATTTTATTTGCCTGGTGCACATAGTTCCCTGATCACATTCTCATCGATCCTCTTCTCTAAACATATCTCAAACGCAGCAGTATGTACGGTTGCAGTATTCGAGATTGCAAGCGTGTCAATCTTCGCTGCAGGATTCTCTGAAAGGCGGAAAGCCCAGAGAATTATGGTGATCAAAGGCTAGTGGGCACGTGGGAGAGGAGCTAGGAAGAGAATATATATCTGTCTCATTTAGAAGGACTCATAGTACAGATCTAGTACCTAGGAAGAGAATATATCTATGGGTATGTTTAGCTCTTGTGTGATAACGGAAGGGGGAACATAAGCTTACATCTCAGTCTTGTTTAGAAGGACTGAGATGCTCAAACAAATGGTACGTAGTTTTAACGTAGTTAGCATAGTGATAGGAAATTTTACGTAGCGTAGGAGTATATTATCGGGTTGATGACCGACGTCAATGATGTCAGTCGACTGCGCTCGCAAGGTCTCACTTTGACGTTTCGGACATCTCGCATCCGGACTTTGATCCCTCCTCCAATAAGAATAACAGCCGTATTGATGAAGATGGACCGATTCGCGACATGTTGACCAGGACACACTCTAGTATTTTCAAGTAAGGCATGAGAAAAGGTGGAAAGATGAACGATACCACTCACCGGCGGCCAAAACCAACAGTGAAAAACTTGAGATCAGTGATCACCGCGCACAGGTTCGAACCCGTTCGAACCTATTCACTACCAGCCCGAACCCCGAACCTCTGGAAAGGTTCGGTTCTGAGTCTTGGCCGAACCTTGGACCGGACCATGCGTCCGGTTCGGAAAGGTTCAGGTTCGAACCGAGGTTCGGAACCGGACTGCGGCAGCACTAGTATATCGAGCCTCGTTTCAGCTGGGTCAAGCACCACTCATACCACGACAAGTTCTGCCAAACATCTTCGCAGTCTCTGTACTAATATCAACATTCACGCTTACCTACAGTGCTGCTTCAACCATAGCACAATGCACATGCCGCGTCAAACCTCTCGTCATACCTATGTCTCGTCAGTGACATACAATCAACTCCTATAGAATACGAGTCGACACAATACGGCAGGGAAAGCAAACACAGAGCATTCGGTATGTAGATAATTAATAGACCCCAGGAAGTAATCGGTATTTCACCTTCTCCGCCCAGTTCTCCCATTCCTCTCCCATAGCACCTTGCATTATCCTGTCCTCTATAGCGGGTCGGTTGATGGAACCCCAGATACCTAATGTATGTATGAGGCAGCCAATGACAGCTAGCGCCGTCATGAGAGGTACTTGTAGAATTCCAGACTGCCACATCCACGACCCTGGGCTTCCGTACATAACAATGATCCCAACAGATTGAAGAAGGGAACCGGTGTAACTTGGGTGGCGGACGACAGAGTACGGCCCACTCGTCACAAGTTTGTGTTCTTTTCTGAGGCTGAGTTGGAAGCTCCAAAACTTTCCCAACGTCGAGATACAATGAGACCTCAACATTCCCCCGGTCACGATGGCAAGATTACACGCAAGAAAAGTGGGAGTGATCGGCGTGAAATGAAGAGAGCGTAGAAGCTGCACAGCTCGGCGGGCGCCATAGATGCCTGCCGGAATTTTCGAGGGATCTATATGCATGGCAATGATGTTGGCTGCTTCGGCAGAGAGTGGTATGTATGCGCTAACCTGTAATACTGTTCACAAATTCATACAGATAGTACAGGAGCAACACACCTTGAGAACCTTTAGAACGAAAATCAACATACCAGCTGAGCCAAAATAGGTTTCCATCATGGTGGGCTTCAGCTTCTCTTCAGGTGACGGTGGCGGAGAAGAAGCAGCGAATGAAATGTGGACGCCAATGGCTGAGGCTACGAGGAAAGGGATCTTCAAAAGACTCATGGTGCTTCTACTGGTCTGTCTTTAGAGCTTGCGACGTGTTAAATACCCAGCCGAACATTGAGGACGCACGTGCTCCCAGGTCAATAGAATTGTGTCATAGATGGTCGGGGCAGTCATCAATTTGTATCAGCGATCCGAAAAAACAATGTGTACTTATGTCAAAGGTTGAACATAAGTACTAGCCCAAACTATTAATAGACGTGAAAGACACTCGATCAGCCTTGGCAAGATTGTTTGGGGATCATATTCTAGGTTTATAGGCTACTAGCCTTGTCCTCTTGATCCGGCATCCGGATCAGGGTCTTGTGCTTCTCTTGGCATGATAAGCGCGATGATGGAATGGACAAGTTAACATTATTCATCCATAAATTGAAGTACTTGCAAGTTCGCAATCAAGGACGTAGAACAGTTTTACAAGATTACTGTCCAACAGTATCAGGGAAGTCAGGATGTATTGAATATATCAGGTCAATCAAATGTACTTCGTTGCCTGAGGAGGATTTAAGTAGTTAGAGCAAGCGAATCGGAATGTGATAATGAGTCGGATACGTAGCTAACGTAGGTAGACACAGCCAGGGACTCCTCATGGACGAAAATTTCTATTCAATGCTCTCTGCTCCTTCATCCGTCTCTACGGCTGCTCTCACACTCGTTGCGATTCAGTGGGAGGAGGGGTCCTTGTCCTTAGTACATGGGCTGATGATATCGGCCTTGATCGAACCTATCCCGTTTAGCGTTGATATTGAGGACGAGGCCCAATTACAGGGGAATGTCGACAGGTGAGTCTGATCGATCATCTCCTGCCTTCCCTTCCTTCCGCTCCCGTATGAGATTGGATGATGGTGGGACGGACCTAGTATTTTGTATACGTTCGCGACGAGCTGCAATGGCGATTGTTCAGATGTGCAGAAACGCAGTCTTGTGGGGTTCGTGGGAGGGATTAGATTGACGAGTGAGGAGGTTGACGAAATGGCATTTTATTTTATTTTAACACCACAACACAGCACGAATGTTAATGAATTCTGATATCGGGTGATCGTTGGTTTCTCTGATAACACCATTTTCGCACCCTAAGTTAGGACTTAACGAAAACTTAGCAAAACTTCACGTGGTCTCCGATATCTCCAAAAAGGATTATCCGTCACGTTACCTTGGGAATCCGCTCAGTATCCGAATTCAAACCCAGTTTTACCAGTCCCTCTATCGACGGCTTGCCTCATAGAGGGGCTGGTCACCAGTCTAGAATTGAGTGCTCTGGTCTCCGTTTGCATACATCCAAGTCGAATCCAAACTTCGGCAACTAGTTTCGACGAGTCACTCTGAGTATCACGTTACTTGTGATTCGGAACGATAGTACTGTCGAATTCTTGATGATTTGGTAGTGGCGTTGATTGAGCTTGATATGATTTGATGGAGGGATAGATTTTGGATCATTAACAGTTGACACGATCTTGGAGCTAGAATTCTATACATGTTCGTCACAAGTTGCAACGGCGGGTTTCCAGCTACAGAAAAATGTATGGGTAGCATACATTGCCGATGAGGATGGCGGGGCGTATCGATCGTACATGAAGGGCGGTTCAAAATGCATCAGAGGAAGTGGGTAGAACACGTCCATCAAGAGACGTGAAGACATGCGACTCGTGAAGGATGAGAAGGTCTAATGATTACCGTTCGTATATTCAGGAGAAATACAACCAATGAAGAGCCAGAAGCGAGTCCAGAGTCCAACGTCTCTTATCGTTGCGTGAGGGCGTGACGCCGTTGCTGAAACTGTAGCTGCGGTAGCATCACTGGCAGCAGGCGTGGTGGACGACGAAGAGTTAGCTGTCTGTGGTTGCGAAGATGGTTGAGCGACGTTGGGCTTGGGAAGCCGTGGGCTTCCTGCATTAGAGATCTGCGAGTGTGATGGTTTCATTTTCTGTTTCTGTTTCTTTTTTGCAAATGCGACCTCCCCTGCTGAAGCATTTCTCTATGTGATATTAGATGAAGTCGCCAGTGAACATCCGAAGAGAGAGAACATACACGTTTGCCCTTCGCATGAGGAACTTCAACAGCAGGGCTGCACCCTTGCAACTCGGTACCTTCACCGCTTCGCCCACGCCGTTTCACAAGGTTTCGAGCCCAGTCGAGAGGGGAGGATGGTGATGTAGCATGAGCACCAGAGGGGCTGCGGTTGCGGTGGAATAAACGACCAAGAAACGTGCTGCCTGGCGGTTCTGAGGAGTGGAGATGGTTTCGTGCGGAGGACTGAGAACATGAAGGTCAGGAAAACAAAACCGAATTGATAGTGATGACATACATGGGAACGATCTGGTGGGATTCCATCAAAGAAACCTTGGGGTATTCGATCATTAGGCGGACGCTGTTGCACTGGAGGTCGTATAGTACTAGCCTAGAGCATGTATGGTGAGAACAACAAGATCCTTTAATGAAGATGTCACATACATGGAGTGCCAACTTGTTGGCCTGGCAGAGCGCATTCAGTTGTGAGAATATATACAATGAGACATGCATATCGCTTCACCTTTGGATCCGAATGTAGGTCATCGAGGTCGGCTTCTTTAACAATCGCAGCAACATCCCATGTGTACGCGTTTTCGTCGTGGCAGCCAGTGGCTAGTGTTTTTCCATCCACGGAAAATGACATGCAATCCACATAATTTGAATGCTGTAGGGGCGAGATGATGAGTTGTCCATCGTCGAGGTTCCACAATAGCACTGTATGGTCGAATGATGGCACTTCCAGTAGTGCGGTTTGCTTCCACGTTTTGGTATTCCATGTCCTAATCGAGTGATCTTGTGACCCGGAGATGAGAGTTTTTCCGTCCTTCAACGTTTCAACCTTGGTCCAAGCCAGGCACCCCACTATTCATTAATCATTTATGTCCTTTGAGAGTTGCGACAAGCTCGCCTGTCTTTGTGTCCCAGATTTTGATGGAGCACTCGATGGGTTCTTCATATCTACCAGTCGCAATCATGGACATGTCTGGTGAATAGACCACTGCCCACACGTCACTGTGCCCAGTCTCGATTGGCTCGAGGATTGTCTCTCCGCTTTCGACGTCCCATTGCCTTGCAGTCCCGTCGAGGGATCCACTTAACACTCTCCGACCATCTCCACTCCAGCAGACAGATAACACTGGGTTTGTATGCCCCATCCATTTGGCGATGACTTTGCATGTCTCGATGTCCCACAACCTCACTGCACCATCATCACTTCCGCTAATCGCTATTTTCCCGTCCGGAGACAATGCTATACAACACACTTCAGCTTCTCCGTCCCGCCAATCTTCTCCTATTTGTTTCCCGCTCTTCAAGTTCCACACTCGGAGCGAGCCGTCCATTGAATAAGTGATGATCTGCTGTCCACCTGGCAGGTGTATGACGCCCCAGACCAAATTGGTGTGTCCTTTAAATTTTTGGCAGGGTGTTATCGCTGATGTCTCTTCCGTTTTAGCGGTAGGTGAAGACATGCTCCAGAATTCCTACTACTAGTGCAGCGTTGTTTCAGCCTTCATTCATTCAATCCCAGAATCAACACTTACGAGGATAGCAGCGACGTGTGGACAGCAAGGTATATGATAGGCGTTTCTGTCAAGTCACAGTTATATTCTCTGCTTCCTGGTACTTTGTTGTGCCTCGTTGTGTTCGCTCACAGCTTATACAGCATATGCTGTGCAACTGAAGCGCCCTCCGTGACTCATTGGGTCCATGCAGTCCGTGACTCTCACTCGACATTTCCAATATAGTATCGACACATGCTCATCACATAGGCACTGTAACAAATCCTAGGGTACACAGCCATTCCAAACGCTTTGAATGGGCCTGGTTAATGATCAACGTATGAATGTCTGCCTGCGTACAGGCCCTAGAGGGATGTATTCACTTCTCACCAAATTTACAGCGCTTGTCCTCTGTGTCCATACTATTGGTGTGCATCTTGCATTAGTCCTGTTTGTCGTATTACCTCTAATTCATTCATCTAGATTCTGATGTTGGTTTTCAGATGCAGTGTCAAGTGTTCTCCATCAAGCCTCGACCTCACCTTGTCAAGTTCGACCCACCCTAATATTATCCACCACCACATCAAGCCTCAACAATGGCCCGGGTATGTCGAGCCTCGTTTAAGCTGGGTCAAGCACCACTTATGCCACGACAAGTTCTCCCAAACACCTTCGCAGTCTCTACTAATATCAACATTCACACTTACCTATAGTCAACCATAGCACATGCCGCGTCGAACCTCGTGTCATACCTATGCCTCGTCAGTGACATACAATCAACTCCTATAGAATACAAATCAACACAATACACTACGGAAAGCAAACAAAGCATTCGGTATGTAGATAACTAATAGACCCCAGGAAGCAATCGATATCTCACCTTCTCCGCCCAGTTCTCCCATTCCTCTCCCATAGCACCTTGCATTATCTTGTCCTCTATGGCAGGTCGGTTGATGCAAATCCAGACAGCGAATGTATATATGAGGCAGCCAACGACCGCTAGCGCCGTCATGAAAGGCACTTGTAGAATCCCAGACTGCCACATCCATGACCCTGGGCTTCCGTACATAACGATGATACCAATAGACTGGAGAAGGCAACCGGTGTAACTTGGGTGGCGGACGACAGAGTACGGCCCATTCGTCACAAGTTTGTGCTCTTTTCTGATGCTGAGTTGGAAGCTCCAAAACTTTCCCAACGTCGACATACAGTAAAACCTCAACATGCCCCCGATCACGATGGCAAGATTGCACGCAAGAAAAGTGGGAGTGATTGGCGTGGAATGAAGAGAGCGTAGAAGCTGCACAGCTTCACGGGCGCCATAGATCCCCTCCGGAATTTTCGAGGGATCTATATATATGGCAATGATGTTGACCGCCTCGGCAGACAGTGTTGTATATGCGCTAACCTGTAATACTGTTCACATATTCATACAAACAGTACAGGAGCAACACACCTTGAGAATCTCCAGTATGAAAGTCGTCATACCGGAGCTAAAGGAGGCTTCCAACCTGGTGGGCTTCAGCTTCTCTTCAGATGACGGTGGCGGAGAAGAAGTAGTGAATGAAATTTGGACGCCAATGGCTGAGGCTACGAGGAAGGGGATTTTTAAAAGACTCATGGTGCTTCCACTGGTCTGTCTTTGGAGTCTGCGACGTGTTAAATACCCAGCTGAACATTGAGGACGCACGTGCTCCCAGGTCAATAGATTTGTGTCATGGATACGGCTTTGTCGGGGCAGTCATCAATTTTGTATCAGCGGTCCGAAAAATCGATGTGTATGTCAAAGGTTGCTCGTGTTCTTCAAGATAAGCACTAGCCGAAACCATTAATAGACGTAGGTATGTAAAAAGCGCTCGGTCAGCCTTGGCAATAAATTAAAAGAAGAGTGTGTTACTCTTGCGAGATTTGTCTGGGGATACGAGATTCTAGGCCTGTGGGCGTACAGTATCCTCTTAATCCGGTTGCGCTTCTTCTGGGATGATAAACGCATCATCGATGATCTAATGGACATTATTCATCCGCAAATTGAAGTACTTGCGAGTTCGCAATCAAGGACGTGGAACAGTTTTACAAGATGACTGCCCAACGATATTGGGGATGTCAGGATGTATTTAATATATCAGGTCAATCGAATGTACTTCATTGCCTGAGAGGATTTAAGACGTACGTACGTACATATCAAACCACAGCCGGTTTCGCTATGAGCCATGCAAATGTATATACGCCAACGAAGGAAACAATCATGGTATTCTGTTTGCTATGGACCAGACATGGCCAAGGGGCCACGGATAGACTCAATAGCAAAGAGAAGACAAGATCACATAAACAAAGAATCCCCCGACGACACCAGCCTATAGTGCAGTGGCAAGGTCATCATGTCCTCCAAGTTGCAAGCAGAGCTCGGAGAAACAAGGGCGGCAAAATTTTGATAACCAAAGAATGAGGGCGGTGCCCTCATAATAGTGGTTAAACTATTAAGAACAGATACTACACTTGATCTAAGCCAAAGGCCAGAGTGGTAGGGATTCAAAGCCGTTCACAGCCCCCTTTTATATGAGATTCTACCCGTGCACGGGCCCCTGATTCAGACTTCTAGTTGGATTAGGCACGCACGTCGATCGATCAGCCTTGGGAATTCAACAAGGCCAAATAATGGGCCAATTGCGTACATGTACAATGAATGTTCGAGGACTACACATCCAAGTCGTCTCCTTCAAATGAACTTCTCACCCAGCGAGCAAATGCACATCCTGCTGCACCGATCAGGAATGACCAATCAAACAAGCCACCGAATAGCGAGTACTCTGGCAGCGTCGCAAACAAGTTCATGCTATCATCAGACGGATCTTGGGGATCTTGAGAGTCGCCTATCACAGGGGATACTGTGGGCGGAAAGGTTGTGCGAAGCTGGACAAGAGTCGACAGGAGATATATGCCCTAGGTGCCCATTCAGTCACATGAGAAACGTTGAAGAAAATTTCGTCAATACCATGAGCTGTGCGAGGGTCAATAACATCAGTGATGCTGATGTTTTACGTGATGTGACATGGAATACCTGTGTGCCATCAATATATAGCTGAAATGAATGTTCAACAGACAACTCACTCTCGTAACACCACGTAGCACCAAGCGGAGAGAACATAAAATGATGACGCCCACAAGGGAAAGACTTATTTGTTTTGATAGAGATGGAATATCAAATTGTGATTTTCCTTCGTCTCCTGTCGCAGACATGGGAAGAAAAGAGAATAACCATGCAAGTACATGCGCAACTATATCTCCATATGATGCGGAAGAGGGACTCGAGTTTGACACAGTCGGAGAGAGAATATTGAAGGCTGACTGGGATAAACATGACTGAAAGGTTCAGAGTCGAGGGGAAGACCACTTACACTACATACTCGGCAGACACAATAAACTGCCCATGACCACGTGATGGTTTTGCCCGTGAACGACTCTGCATACTCTGCTGCAATTCGGTTGCGTTTGAAAGCAACAACGCGAAGGCTCATTTGCTCTTCAAGAGCTTGAAGACCAATAACTTCCTGTTGGATCGAGCTTTGTTCTTACAAAGAATTGACGATGTGAATTCAGGTTCGGAAGAAACGGATAGATCATACGTACGTCCATTTCGTTTGAACGACATGCGTGACAGCCACGATCCATCTGGTTGCGGCTAAAATGTTTGAGACAAAGTGTGACGACTTATGTTGGCCTACAGTACCTTTGAGCTTGCATAGTCATCCAAGTCACGAGAACGATCCCGCAGATCATTCTTCACTCTTTCAAGTGCGTTTTCAGCGGACACAATAGATGACGCAGATGGCGTTGATCTTCACAAGTTGAATAGTAGTACAACTGATCGAGCCGTCAACTCACCGAGACCGATTGATGATGCCCCATGCACCACTAACTGCACCGAGTCCAGATAGTAGTCCGAGGACTGTGGTTCCCAACGTGACCAGCCGTGCAGTGACTGCTGTTAGCGGATTGTACAAGAGTAGCTCGGCGGGGAGTGGAATATATGAAAGGGCAAATACAAAAAGTGCCACAGGTGCTAATGCAAAAGCAACACGAATTGGCAATGCACGAGATTGTACAAAACCTGGATTATCTGGAACCATTAGAAGACGGTTGGGTAGATAGGAGGGAATATGGCATCTTACCAGGCCGGTAGGTCAGGATGAGGCTGAATGATATGGGAACAAGTAAAAGCATCGTGAACAATAGAAGGAATAATGCTATTCGCCAGCTTAAAAGGCGAATTCTGTTATGACCGTCCCGACTCAGTCATTACAGAAAGCCAAGCGCTCGCACAATCAAATTATGACACACCTCGGTTCCAACCAATCCAAACCCTGACACATGAGCATGCAGAATAAGATACTGCATTCAGAAAAGCAAAGTGAGAAACACGTCTGCGCGAGTGTTGAATGCCATGGTTGTGTGCTACTTGATTGCGGGGTCACTGCGGACCCTGGCAACGTGTCTTGCGGGGCGAGTTGTTGAAGGTCCTTGTACAACTTCTTTTGCAAGAAGATGCGACAGCTAATGAACAGAAAGCCTCTTCAAAAATATAAGTGAGAAATTTTCCCAGAGCTATTTAGACGAGGGATATACCCTGATGCAAGTACCAGGAACACTTCTATTGCGGCGGTCATGGAAGGGAGTGAGAAGTCGTGGAACCCTAACCCGAGCTTAGGGTTGATTGATGGTAGTCACGTCACGTCGTCACGTCGTCACGTCATAAACTCACGTGGGTAGCATTCAGCTCGTGAGCGAACGACCACGACAGCCAACGACCGCACGAACGACATGAATGAACCCAAAAAATCCGAGCCTACAACTCAAGTAGTTCATGAGGAAGCTACCGCAACCAATATATCTTACTCTCAACCGCCAGCTGAACCCGTGGTAATTAGTATTAGTCCACTCTTACAGGCTCCAACTAACGGTCACACAGGCAGAAATAATCTCGGCAGCACAACGCGGGGATCTCAATACCGTTCGTGAGCTCGTAGAGTCAGGAAAGTGCAAGGTCACAGACAGAGATGACCAGAACGTGTAAGCCTAACCCAAATGCTTCTGCCACACTCATGAACGTCCGCAGCACTCCTCTTCACTGGGCAGCAATAAATGCCCAGCTTGCAACCTGCCGCTATCTCATAGAACAGGGCGCGGAAATAGACGCAATAGGGGGTGACCTAAAGGCTACCCCCCTGCAATGGGCCGCTCGCAATGGATACCTCTACATCGTGCAACTGCTCATATCCCACAATGCTGATCCAACCATCGCTGACACCCAAGGTTACAACTCCCTCCACCTTGTGACACACTCATCATCAGTAATGCCGCTCCTTTACTTATTGCATCAACCTGTGAATGTCGATTCTCGTGACTTACAAGGTCATACGTCATTGATGTGGGCTGCGTATCAAGGCGATGCGTTGTCTGTGGATCTCCTGCTTAAACACGGCGCGAATCCTAACTTGAAAGATGATGCTGGACTTACACCCTTACACTGGGCTGTGGTCCGAGGCAATCGAGTTATCCTCCGGCGCCTCATTGAAATGGGGGCAGACATACACGCAAAAGATCTTGAGAGCCGTACACCAAGAGACATGGCTGTCGAATTGAAGAGCCTAGGCGCGTGGAAGAGAGCCATGGAAGAGGGTGGCTTAACGGAACATGGTATAGGTAAAGCGAAACCATTGAACGAGGTCCGTTCACTCCCTTCGGTCTTCCTTTGTAATGTCTGATCCAGCTCTAGCGCCATACCAAAATCGCTATCTTCATTCTGCCTTCTTTGTTTCTATATTTTATTTTTACAACGCTTACTATTCTGCCATGGTATACCGGTATTATACTCGCCATGGCTGAGTTTTTTGCCATGCATCATGTAAGTGGCGACAAATTTACCATGATTATGCGATAGCTCATGACAAGCAGATCGTAACCCGGGTACTCTTGAATAAGAACACCTACGTCGGAACAGTAAACCAGAGCCCATATTTCGCAGGCATCATCGCAGGGTCAATGTTGTGGGTTGGTTATTGCTGGGTAACACGACTTGTGCAGCGTACGTCATATGTTATACTTTTGCAGTCGCGGGCTGACATCATTTCAGAGACGGAATCGCATGCTTTTGTTCACCTGGCTTTCGCAATCATCTTTGGTCTATGTTTGTATAACTTCTTCCGTGCCGTTACTTTGGACCCAGGTCTTTGCCCCCGGCCAGCACATGATGGAGAATTGAAGGCAGTGAGTATATCAGCGTTCTAGAATGAATCTGCACATGGTAACGGAGACTGTAGATCATCGAAGACCTTGCTTCAGAGGGCAGACTCAATGGGCAAACATTCTGCATACAATGCATGGTGCGTGTCAATTCTGTAAGATGCAAACTTATGTCGACTTTTTGCACAGGCAAGGAAACCCCTACGGTCAAAACATTGTCGTGTTTGTGATCGATGTGTAGCGCGAAGTGATCAGTATGTCCTGTCCTTTTTTTTCTTTCTAAGAGAGCTACAAAAGTGAACTCCGTTTGTCATAGCCATTGCCCATGGGTCTGGAATTGTGGTAAGTAAAGTTCTTTGAATAGTGGCACTCCAACTTTGACGCGGTTTGTAGTTGGGGCAAATAACCACAGGCAATTTTTACTCTTTGTCTCGACATTAGTCATCGACATCGTATTGTTTGACTACCTTGTTTATGAATGTATGTTCTTGATCATCGTCCTTCTGAAGAGTCTCATCTGAGCAATCACAGATTTCTTGTCGACATCATTGCCCGAATTCGGTGACTGCTCCGCAATCCTCTGCGAGCCAGCCTTGAAGGATGCTTTCCTTCTTTGCGTCTCGCTGTGGTCAGCCCTGCAACTGACATGGACTTCTGTGCTCCTTGTGACACAATACTGGCAAGTGACCAAGCAGCTAACAACGTTCGAGGTCTCCAACATCGGGCGTTTCGGCTTCATGGGCGGTCGCGGCACCCTCGCTGCTGGCAGTGGAGGTGCCGGTGTCCAGATGGGACATCGGCACCACCATGGCGCTCACCAGCAGAATGGGGACACCGACAGCGAAGCAGAGGCTGGTGCCCACAAACAGGCACATAGCCACAATTTCTGCGGGGCCCTCACTGCACCCGGAACATGTACCGCTTTTCTACTTAACCTCCTTGGCCTTGACCGGTTCACACGTGGACGTGCTGCACGCGGACTCACTTCGCATGCACGCAATCCATTTGATTTTGGAGCTGTACGGAACTGCAGGGATTTCTGGACCATGGGCAAGGAGCTTGGCGTGGAGTATGGCCAGGTGTATGATGTGCCCTTGGAAGGTTTTGAGGAGGCCAAGAGACGGAAGGAAGCGGAACGGGGTGACCTTGAGCACGATCACGAAGGCTCCCACAGCAGCAGGAGTAAGAGTCTACTCGGCAAACTCACCATGCGGATGGGTATGGGCTCTAGTCGGAGAGGCTACGAACCCCTGAATCAGGTCTAGCGTATGTGGTTCTTTTGTGACGATGAACTATTTATTTTGTTTACAAATTGTACATGTGGATATTACTTTACTACAGGTATACACTATCCAGAGTATAAGCATTAGTATATTCGGTTCTTGTCATTTGGTTGACCAAACCGCATGTGGTTTGCACTAACATCCACAAAAGCGACTGCCCTCAGCATTATGACACATCGGGGTGAACGATATTTAAAAGAGGTTTATATGTTGTACAAAATGTGAAGACAATATTTAATATTTAAACTGACATAAAGATGGGTGCACGACTTCAAATTTTGGTGGTGTTTTGTGTGTCATCCAAAATATCAAATATTCACAACCATATTCCCACAGACAATATGTCAACAAATATAATAAATATAATCAGATTTTCCATGTCTGCTTCAATTTAAAGTTTGATTCTTACATAAAACTTTGGAGAAAACTTGAAGTTTTGCCAAAGCTTGATATTTAAATCGAGTTTTAATGTCATGTCATCTGTAAAACTTCAAGTTTTCTCCAAAGTTTTACATGGAAATTGAACTTTAAGTTGAAGCAAACATGAAAAATCTGACTATATTTCTTATGTTTGTTGACATATTGTCTGTGGGAATATGGTTGTGAATATTTGATATTTTGGATTACACACAAAACACCACCAAAATTTGAAGTCGTGCACCCATCTTTATGTTAGTTTAAATATTAAATATTGTCTTCACATTTTGTACAACATATTAACCCCTTGTAAATATCGTTCACCCCGATGTGTGAAGTCAACTAATCGATGACAATTCTCATCGTGGAGGGGGTTCCAAGGTGGGTCATCTTCCCACCTGTATACTAGAGTTTCCCTATCGCATCGGCCATGAGGCCATTTGAACTCACGTCATCTTTTGCTCATCTCCGTGGTGATCCCAAGGCCCCCAGAACTTAGAACAAGGCTTTTTCCGACTGTTACAGTACAAAGGCATGTGTTTTGCAGTCGGGTCGTTTCCTTGACGGAGCCGTTACGTAGGTAGCTTCCGAAAACCAGACTGCTCTTCCAGCAGTGACAGCTAGCGCAACAAGCGCAGTGGCCTTGAGCTTTCCGTTTCTACGCCGAGTATGAACGGCGTAGAGGTTCGGCTTGCATAGCGGACGCACTACTCGTCGGACAGACACATCATGTATGCTGCGCGAGATATCCGATCTTCGATAACGATCATCATCTGTACCTCCCATTGAGGATGGACTTGAGCAGCCCGGCTTGAGCACAGCTGCTGGTTTATTACCACCGGACTGTAAACGACACCCGGCACCCGATACAATAAACGTTGTTACCAAGGCTAGCTTACTTCCCTCTTAGGGTTGCTTTCTGAGCTCTTGAAGTGTCAAGCTTGTCAAGTTTAAGACCTAACTATAGAAGGTCGGTTAAAAGGTTTTAGTTATGTAATGGTTCTGCGATTTTGGGAGGGTGGGAATCGGAAGATATTAATAGGTCACGAATCCTTATGAAGCTGAAAGCAGTGCCTAACCTCCCTGGGCCTTGCAGATTTACCTTACCCTAGGCCTAGCTGGGGAGCCGCAACGCCTCCCAAAGTCTCCTTCAAATATTTATGCACTGTGTTGCACCATTTTCATGCCTGAATTGGACTCTGGAGGACAATATGTTATCATTATCCAACTGTACAAAACTTGCACTTTGCCAGAGGCTGCGCATCACTTATCGTAGCGGCCTTCACATAATACCCTGACGGTAACCTATACTGGGACGCACTCACATGCACTTTATTCCATTCCATTATTAACCTTATTCTTACACCAAAAGTAATTGCTAGTCCGATGCCCAGGTGCCGTCAAGGCGCACTAGGACGAACTCGCACACACTTGGTTCCATCATCAACCTTATTCTTACACTATAAGTAAGTGGCAGTCTGCGAGGATTGACATCCTATCTTCCACCAGATTACCCCACCGTGACGCACACAGCTGAAGCAGTGATGTCTCTCCCAACTATTTCTCGTGAATATCGCACCCAGGTACGCGTCATTTGTCTACTTACCAACAGAGGTCGACATTGACTTACAAACGGTGAGGTAGGGTGACGGCTATCAGAACTTGAAACTTCAATCGGCGACTCTCTCTAAGCCGAAGGCTACCGAGGTGACCGTCAAAATACATGCCGTCTCCCTGCAGGTCTGTCCTCATTTAAATATTCAACTCCCAGAGATTCAACGCACGTGCAGTTTCGCGACTTGATGGTCTCCAAAGGAATTTACCCACAGTTAGTATCGTTTAAAAGTTGGAATTCACGTTGAACACTGATCCTACAGGCAAAAGTGGGACATCGTTCCTTGCTCTGATGGCGCAGGTGAGATTGTTGCACTTGGGGAAGAGGTCAAAGGGTGGAAAATCGGAGATCGTGTCTGCCCAAACTTTGCACTGGATCATATTCATGGCGATGTCACTGAAGACATCAAATTGACCGGACTTGGTGGCCACATTGATGGTGTGCTTCGGGAGTACATCAATGTCCCCGTTCACGTATGTGTTCTTTTCATTTCAGCGTCTTATTGGTTGCGAGTGTCTATTTAAGTCGCTGGTCCGCATCCCAGAATATCTTTCATATGAAGAAGGGTCGACTCTTCCGTAGGTCGACTATCTGTCCTTATCTTGACATGCTCAGACTTCGCTAGATGCGCGGCGTTGACAGCTTACAACGCTTGTCTTGGACCCGTTCCTCTCAAAGGCGGAGACTATGTTCTTGTTCTCGGTACCGGCGGTGTTTCAACGTATGTGACAGTTCACTGACAATATTGGCTTGTGCACAAACGGATCTGATAGCTTCGCCGCCCAATTTGCCCTTGCTTCTGGTGCTATCGTCATTGTCACGTCATCTTCTGATGAAAAATTACTTGTTGCAAAGAAATTGGGCGTGCAGCACACCATCAACTACAAGAAGAACGTTAAATGGGACGAAGAAGTCTTGAACATCGTATGTTTATTTTTATGACCTTCACATCAGCGCGCCTAATATGTTTAGACCGGCGGCCGTGGCGTTGACCACATCATCGAAGTCAGTCTACCCAAAAATGCACAATTGCGGCGAACTTAATCGAGCGTGATGCAGGTCGGAGGGCCCAATACTATACTGAAATCTATCAATGCCGTACGCTATGCGGGGTGGATTCATATCATCGGCTTTGTGTCCGGGGTACGCTTCATATCTGCATCTTTATCGGTATCATTAATGCCACTTATCATATAGGGCGATAACGGTATTCCTGTGACCCTTGCGATCTTGAAGACGATTATTCTCCGGGGAATTTTGATTGGCTCTGTCAAACAGTATGATCTAATTTCCATATCTCTACTGTACTAACAGGTGACCGGCAGGTTTGAGGACATGAACCGACTGCTTACAGCGCGTCAAATCCGCCCAGTGGTAGACAAAGTCTTTTCCTTCGAGGAGGCTACTGAGGCTTATGTGTATCTCGAGAGCCAGCACCATGTCGGAAAGGTAGTAATCAAATTGGCGTGAGGTGCAACGATGTAAGGGTCAAGTGTAGGTATCGAGTAATCCCGTTTTGTTCCACATAAATATGTGTGTAGGATATGTGACAGTTTAATACCCAGACTAGAAATAACAAAAATTCCGTGCTCTCATGGCACTACCACATAACTTGCAAGAAAAATTACGCCTTGATATCTTACTGGAGTTTGCTATGTTGTCTCCTCACTAATTATGAATGCTGTTGGTCTTCTATACAGTATGTACAAATAACCGCCAGAATCAGGTGAATAGGAGACAGTATGACACAATAGTACCCGAAGTCTACAGATTTATCAGCGAGGTCACGTGCTTTCGTGCTGTTAAAATACCAAGTACTAAGTACTAGACGCCGTGAGGTAGACTTAACTAGGCACCAGTCTTCGTTACTTGGACACGATTGTTTCAACACCTGCCAGGCCTAGTGAATATCTCCTCGACTCCGTGGAAGAAAGCAAGGATCAGGCACTCTAGTGTAATGACCTCGGGTAAAGGCACTCAGATTTTACGTCCGCCGTCTTATCCGGAGGTTCGGGAACTCTAGAGGTGTCTTTAGAATGGCCCTTTTGATCTCTCCCGCAGAGTCGGGCAGACCCAAACGCTTCAAGTCGGACTGTGTTAGCTTGTTGATTTTGCAACCTGGTAAAGCGAACACGATCGGTGAGGGATAAGGACGATTGAAATTAGTCTGCGCGTACCTAGAGACTTGAATAACATGTTGACTCTGCTAAGGCATGAGCTTGGTGCGTGACTATTGTTGCTGAAAGACTTACTTTGTCGGTTCCGTGCTCAAATCAGCAGCGAGAACGCTTGTGTCGGTCGCAAAATCATCGACGTGAAGGCATAATGCAAACATGTGCGTCAGAAGCATAGTCCCTTTTTCAGATGTCTTTCGTGCCCTGGGAAACTATGAGGGCCACTACCCCAAGGAAGGTATAAAGCACGTACTCCATGGACCCACGTGCGGTCTCTGTGAACCGTGATAGAAGCCCATCAATAACGACGCTAGGAACCATCGACAATTTTTGTTGAATGGCGTCCTTGTTGATATCCTTAAAGGTAGCTTTGTGGAAGGCGATCATTGTCGAGATGTATATCAGCATTTTTCTGAAAAATCATTGTCAGTAGGCTCTCGCGATGAACAACACCTCTACATACATAGTGGTCTTGTTTGGTGAGGGAGAGGTAAATGCAAGTGCCAAATGGTCATTGATCCAGTTGGAACGCTTGAAAGGCAGAAGAGCGACCCGCTCAGCTCCACCGCCTGCACTCATGTAAGCAGAAATAGACAGTGCCTTCCATTCAGGCTTGGGAATCATGTTGTGCAGGGGATAAATGTCGCTTGGATTGAGAGCATCAATGTCGTACTGTGGAACTAAACGAGTGCTGTCCGCGTTCGCTTTTGCTTCCTCTGAAAGACCGTTGAGCATGAAAACGGAAGGAAAGAAAAAAAAAACCTTTCGATGGTAGTGTAGATGTGTTCTTAAGAATGCTCTCTTGGAGGTGATCTGCAACACCCTCCATTGCAGAAACATCGACTTTGTTGCGCTCTTGCGCGCGGATGGCTAGTTTCGCCTTTTTGGTTCCGAACGTTTCGCCAAGTGCCGCGCGAGCCTCAAGCCGCTGAAGAGCAGAGACAGCAGCAGGTTGAAGACCCTTTAGAGCTTTAACTTCGTGTGTGAGGATGTGCAACGGAGCAGCTCGAAGGGTGGTGATGCCAGTGCGTCTATTATGAATTCCGACAAGGTATCTGCGAAATAGATGATGAAAAGATAGATATGAGAATCCGATATTCAGACATGAACGCGGAGTGTATGCACGCACCTGCTGCCCAGTGAACCCCGTCGTGTTTCTTCAGAGGAGTAAAAATCCACGGCTTCTGTCTCGCCCGCAATCAACATCGGGATCTCAACAAATGGCAATTCCTCATTGTCTGTCGCCGGCTTTTGTGTTTGTGCCTTGTAACATTTGAAAGAAGTGGATTTTGTAGGCTTGACGGAGGGGAAATTAGCTAGTGGACGTGGCACCACCGACTTTGCTTGAGTTGAAAAGCTTCGACTGTGACGACCATCTGCACTCACCAAGCACAGGACCCAGCTGCGTTGCAGGTTGGTCTGAGAGCGCAAAGGACACCCTTTGAGTGTCGTCTAACTCGCGCTTGCGCTTCTTGGAAGTTGTCATCGCAGCCATTAGTGGCTGCTTGCTAAAAGATCGGGCTCACCACGATATTGCCGTAGCCCGTGACTTTTCACAACACAACAGGTCAGTTTCACTTGCTCAAACTTATATGAACTCATTTATACTCTATTCTATAGCGCTTCATAGGCGTATATACGCCTGTATAGTAGAATTCGGAGTTGAAGTTGTTATTGTTAACGTTGACCTCTCCTTCGTCAGAGGTCTTGTTCCCATTTCCAACCGCGGACTCACGCTTTCGAGCACTTACACCCCTACCACGATGTCTAAATCTTGCTCTAAGAGCAAGAGCCCCCCTGTGGACATTGAACCAAAGCTAGAGGAAGATATCAAGCTAGAAGAATCTCTTTTCCCTCCAGTAGACACTAAGTCTTCCAAGCCGGAGCCATCACCGCCCCTCAAGCGAGAATCTTCTGAATCCGCAGTCAATGTAAAACCAAAACCAACAGGCCCACAGCTCATTGGCGACCTTCCGCGCGCGGAAGCCGCCGCTCACGCAACATTTGTGCAGATACCCGACAATCACTATCAGTATGGGACGCTTGGGCGCTCAAGAGAGGAGGGAGAGAGTATGACCTGTGACTGTCAATATGAGCATGGTTGGTTTGATACCATCCTGAGTAGCATAGTTGTAGACTCTAAGTTCTTACTGCGCAGGTGTCGACGGCCCATCGGATGCCTGTGGGCATGAGTCAGATTGTATCAATCGGCTCACACAGGTGGAGTGCCTCCCAGATGACTGTCGGTGTCGGATTTACTGCCAGAACCAACGGTAAGCCTATCGTTACTTCAGTCTTTTAACATTCTACATCCTCAATTGCACGTATTCAGGTTTCAGCGCAAGGAGTACGCCGATATTGAGATAGTACAGACGGAAAAGAAGGGTTTTGGTCTCCGAACGGCCACGGATCTTTCAAAGTGAGATATCTCATTCTTTCTGAAGCGTTATAAGCCTCTCACATCAACTAGGGATACATTCATTTATGAGTATGTTGGCGATGTCGTCAGTCACCCTTCCTTTATGAAGCGTATGCGTCAATATGCGGAGGAAGGAGTCAAGCACTTTTACTTCATGATGTTGCAGAAAGATGAAGTGCGTTGCTATATCTTTTGATTTCTCCATAGACCACTGACGGTCCTCCTTTGGGTTTCCAGTATATCGACGCCACAAAGCGAGGTGGCATCGGCAGATTCGCAAATCATAGTTGCAACCCGAACTGTTACGTCGCGAAATGGACAGTGGGAAAGCATGTCCGCATGGGCATCTTCGCAAATAGGTATATACGTAAAGATGAGGAACTTACCTTCAATTACAATGTGGACCGTTACGGGTATGCTTGGTTTTTTTTATTGATTTTTCAGATGAGCTCATACATCCAAGGCATGAAGCACAACCGTGTTACTGCGGAGAGGCCAACTGTGTTGGCTTTTTGGGTGGTAAGACCCAGACTGATATTGCTGGGATGGATGACCTTTATCTCGATGGTGCGCCTACCAACGAGCACCTTGCTTTTGATTGCTAATACTTCTGCTCTGTTAGCATTGGGTATTACCGACGAAGTAGAGAAGCTGGGCCTCAAGGGTAATAAGAAAAAGAAGGGTAGAAAGCTTGACGAGGACTACATGGTATGCCTTGTAAACGTTCCGTTTTTTCTGTTACTCACCGTCTTTCAGCCAGAGCTCAAACCACTCCTTGAGAAGGACATTCCTAAATTGGTTCAAGCAATCCGGCAAACGCAGAGTAAGAAAGTCCTTTCCAAACTTCTCACTCGAATCAAGGTATGTCTTCACATCGATCTTGTTGGGAAGTCTAATGTATTGTCTTCAGATCACCGAGGACCAGGCGGCACTACGCCAGGTTATGCGGTTGCGAGGTTTCAGTTTAATGCACAACATTCTTGAAGATCACGCCAAAGACGTCGATATTACAATCGCCGTGAGTCATTATCCTTGAGTAGGGTGGTCACATAATAACGTAACCGTTACAGGCCTTGGAGGCCATGAGCCGCTGGCCGCTTATCCAGAGGAACAAGGTTGACGATTCGAAGATCACCGTACCTGTTCGAGTGTGCCTGGAGTCAGAAAACGAAACTATGAAATGGCTTGCCCAAAAGGTCACTGATACCATTACTAAACTCATCACCATTCTAACGGGATATTTACAGCTCTTGGACCACTGGGACACCCTTGAAATCGCATATCGCATTCCAAAGCGAATTAAAGCTGTAAGTTAACATTCCGTTTCCAGCCAGTAAGAGCACGGTATCATGAAAATTTTGCAGGATGGCGAGGAAGAGCAACCTCCGCACCACATTGCCATGATTGAATCACTAGAAGGGGAACTCCGCCCACTCAAGAAGCCGAAATGGCAAGATCAGTACGAACAGCACCATTTTCGCCCTGCCCCTAAACGTCCGCCCTCTACCTCTACTGTCATTATTCAGAATCACTGGGCATCTCCTTACATTCCGCCAGTGGTTCATAGGCGATCGAAAGACGAAATTGCTGCTGTGATCGCCGCTGCAAAGGCAGCTGCCGAGGCGGAGGCCGCCAAGGTCCCTCCTCCGTCACCTCCTCCAGAGGAGAAAAAGGTGAAGAAAGAAAGACCTCCGAAGAAGACTCAGACACCAGAGGAGAAGGAGGCCAATAAGGAGAAGAGGCTATTGAAGCTCGTGGGCGCCGTCGTCGTCAAATGCATGTCCAAATATTCAAAGCAGCTAAACCACGACCAGTTCAAGAAATACGCTAAGGAGGTGGGTGTCATCTTATTGCTCTACAAAGGGATTGTCCACTGATTTTATCTCCCAGCTCACGCACATCATTGCCGAGAAGGAGAAGAAATCTTCCAGCTATAAAGATGGAAAACTGGAGGCACTATCTGACGAGAAGACGGCAAAGATCAAGAAGTTTGCGAAGGAATACATCATCAAGGTGCTACGGAAGCATGAGAAATCTAAGCGAAAAGCCTCATCGTCTACTGCACCAGCAACCTCATTCGCGATCGAGGAAAACGATCAGGAAGAGGGAGGCGATGTGCCTATGGTGATGTCCGTTGACGAAGCAATGGATCTCGGCGATGGGTCAGAGAGTGAAGCGGATGATGCGGACACAGGAGGCGATGTGCAAATGCAACATTTAGAAGACATGCAACATTCTTCGGACGATATTGATCCATCCCCGAAGGAAGGAGTTGCTGAACACCCTCCACAGTCCCTTACTCCAATAACACCATCGGACGCCACTATTGACCCTAGACTGCGGCATCGGCTTGAAGAGCCGGGGAGCCCTTCAAAACATTGTTGGGACTCAAGTACATAGCACTTACTCCATCGTTATCTCCTATCTATCACGCTAAGTATTCGCCTCCTCACATGCGTAGTTATTAGATTGCATCAAGTTTTTCATCGCTGGACAATTCAACGCATATATCTTGGAATTGTACCAAATGTGCTTATCTTTGCACTCAGGGTTTTGCAATGCACGTCAGTTGAGTACCACCCACACTATGCTAGCACAGGAGGACAATGATTAAGAATTACATCAGTGAACTGGAGGAAAGATGATAAGAGTATATATGACGATACATAGTACACAATCACAAACATCTGTATAATTCTGCTATCCATCATCACATAGTGATGTTTGACTTTATACAGGAAAGGACAATGCATAAATTTCCTACACCAGCGTTTGATCGGGAGAACACCTACATATCGCTGGAATTCTAACTCGAAAGTGATATGGAGTAAAATCAAAGGGTCGAACTGCATGAGACACTATCGGCACCTCAGAAGTGAATTCCATCGTGTCAAAGTCAGGCGTGAAGGCCTTAATCTTCCGGATGACTACAAGGTGTTTACCAAGTGCACAAGTTTAAATTAATATTCTCGCGCTAATTTTGACGCCCTCTTCTCCAAAAAGTTGATTTTCTTCGAGTATCGTGCAACGTCCCAAGCCAGACCAAAAAACTCGTGTTTTGCAGAGTACCACGAAGTGTTTACGAAGTGCAAACTGATGCCTTGTGCGAATTTTAACGCCACCTTCTTTAAATTGTTCATGTTTGTCTACTATATATCAATTGCGAATTTGTGCAAAGAAGTGCCACTTTCGTATCGCAGCCGGAATGTGTCCATCAAGCAAACATATACAACGTACAGCTTACTTCAAATTGTCACGCGAAATCGTATGAATACCCAACAACTAGCAGTTGTATTCATCTGCCACGCGTCTCGCAGCGGTCCAAGGTTTTGCGCAAATGCTGTGTAGTGCCATGTAAGTGAATTCGGGACCCTGGTGACAGCCGCCCCCCATCCAATCACCAAGGTGTTAATGGGCGAAATCAAGTATTTATGACCGAAGTTGTGCTATTGTCTACAATAATTGGTATAGTTACATTTTGCTTCAGCAATTGCTGACGCCTGCATAGACTAAAACAATATAGTAGTGGGTCATACATTCCTTCGAGCCCTTATTGACCACTCGTCGAGTATATCATATATCACACCACCCATCAAAACCATTGCACTTTTTGCACCTCACGAGACGAGCGGCTTAGCTTCCTCATCTAATGACAAAGTTGCTGTTGGGTAATATCAGGTTTCTACCGATGTCATTCCGCTCTGCCTTAGCAATCACCCACCTGTACCAGACTGAGAGAATATGATGATTTGTCCGTGTCTCGTGAATTGGGCTACTAATTCGATATGTTCTAAGATCGCCGTCACCTGT